CCAAAAGTTATGCAGGACGCTGGCCAGAGCATCCCTGGTTACTAAGAGCTGGATATGGAGATGTGTGTGGCCCTTACATATCTCCCCGCCTGGCTTTTAGCAGCCTGGGATGCTCTGGCCAGAAAAAGGGTGGCAGGCACACTGCAAACATTGCCTGTGCCCCCCCCCTCCCGTGACCCAAAGAGATGCCGCCTGAGGCTGTCTCATTATTGGGATGGCCCAGGCAGTATAACTCTCCAATAAAGGCACATTTTCCCTAGTATTGTCTCTTTAGAAATGCTGCAGTACAAAGAAATAAACTTACATAAAAATGTCCTCTACAACAAAATGAATCAAGCATCCCCTTCTATGTGTATATCAGTTGCTGTGAGAATCCAATATAATTGGTATAAAATAATTAAATTCAAACAAACACTGTGCTACTACCCCTCATTCATGTAATAGTGTGCCATTAATTGGATACACTTTCAGTGGACAAATTCAACATAAGAATTATCCACTCTCTGAGAACTCCCTACTTCCACCAAATTATTTAGATCCCAAATCATAAGGTTCATAAATTTGACAGGTGTGGTGATAATTCCAAGTGTTACAATCCTTCAACATCCATAATTGTAATTAAACAGTAATCACTGGCTGTTTCAAATTTGGGCAGTTTTCTCGCTCGTGTGCGTCGTCCGGAAGAAGGAAGGACAGTGTCAGCACCAATTCAGAGATGATTTGAGGATCTACAGCCGAGTGGTACACAAATAAGACACATTTTGTGTTAATAGTTAAGGCACTTGAATGCATTTTTAAGATGCAACTCCTGAGCTCAGTGTAACTTTAGGGTATGTTGAGCTGTAATAATACTATGTGTATTTCACCTTTACATTATGCTAGGTGTTTCGTGTGTTTGGGGTCAGGGTCTGTACAATTTTGGAATTGTTGTCGTGCAGTGACATGATAAAGCTGAGAGTTTCCTTCCCCTAGTGCTACCATCTCCTCTCACACATACCACAGAGTTAGCCTTCCAGAGCAGCATTTTCAGTATCCCTCTCTGGGAATTCAGAAGTTTGGTGACTTCTGCCGGCAGCTCCTTGTACTGATTCTCAAACAGGATAAAGATTGGCCTACGGGAGAGCTCCAGCAGGCGAAACAAACCATTCCTAAACACAAGGACACCTATTGGTCAATATCATGGCCTCAGTTGTAAATATTGCATACAAAAGGATGGTGGCTATTGGCAAACCTACCTGAAGCTGTTTTGGCACCATTCCTGCTCTAGATACGCCAGCGACAGAACCACTATCAGTCGTCGGCAGCGGCTGACATTCATGAGCAACTCAGCGGAAGGTTCTAAACATAAAAATGTGTCAATGATCCTTATAGTGTACATTGCTTGTTTATTAGATGGCCCAGCTGCTGAGCTTGTCAACTAGTACAGGTTTATAATTGTAATTATAGATATGCAATTGCGGTATAAGGCTCTACTATTTAATCCCATAGTTATACTGAGAGCCACGAGTTTAGGAGACATGGACACATGTAGCTGACAGTTTCCTATCTGCCATATTGCTAAGGACATGACTATGTTCAACTTCTCGATGACATGGTGGCAGAGAGTGCTGTTGAGTAAAACCATGAATAGTACTTGTCTGCACCGGTACTATACTGTCACAGCAAGCAGATCAGTCCACATAGTGTCAATGTCAGTGATCCATTGCACACCTGACTGATGTGTGCCCTTTCTTTATCTCCGGGTGCTGAAGCGACAGGTGGATGGCGCCGCCATAAACAACATCAACGGAGAACGTCACCAGCACACCGTCTTCTTCAGAAATACATTTTTTATTGAGGTCTTGAAACAAACATCACAAAAATAGAGTGCAATCCACATAGTGCTTGGGTTACTTTGCCAGCTGACAATGACTGTATAGTTTCGCGCTACGTAGTTATAGTCGGTTGGCAGATTGATTCAATTGACTGTGACTGAATAATACCATCAATCACATGCTCCATTGCCAAAAGTGCTGTTTGTCGGCCTGGTTTCTAAAGACATAACATTAAGTCTGTTTTGAGTTCACCACTGAGAAAAAACTGTCTGTGCCACCACTATACAGTCACCGTTGGCTGGTGGATTAAATCAGTGTTGTACAGGCAATACATACAGTATTGAAAAGCAACATAAGATGAGCTAACATGCAAAAAAGTATAGCAGATAATTTAAAAAACTATTAACAAGTGTCAACATATTGACAGTTACAAAATGGATCCGTCTGACAACCATGATATGTTTTCAAGAAACACTTGCATGTGTTTCAAGAGGCAATGTAATTGGAGCCAACAGGAATGGCAGCATTCATATAGCTCACTTTGCTGACTTTGCTGTTCAGAGCTTATATCTGTAAAAAATCAATCAAGGCAGCTGGACTTGCTGCATTTTTCTTGAAGATGTTTTGCTGGTCATCCGACTAGATTTCTCAATTCAGAATGGAGAAAGCTAGTGGATGACCAGCAAGACATCTTCAAGAAAAATACAGCAAGTCCAGATCTCTTGATTCTTTACAGATTTACCATGACCTGGATAAATGAGAACCTTCACAGACATATTCAGAGCTTATGACAATGTAGAGGACTACTGGTAATAAGATGCTTGGATGTCAAAAAGGTTTACCTGTATTAGGCAGCAGACTCCTCTCATCCAAGTGCAGTTTGTACCCATATCTGTTCTCCAAATGGGGTTTTAGGATAAAGTTTGTGAACTTTGTATCAATATTTGAGGGACAGAATGAGACATAAGCATCAAACAGACGTCCATCTGCAAGCAAACACAGAGATGAGTTCTAGTGCATTTGACAAGTCAAAGCTACAGGACTTTTCACAGGTAAAGGAAATGTGTTAGGAAAGAAAACTGGAAGCTGCTATTGCTGACCTACCTTTCTAAAAATGCCAGTCGGAGAGATTTGGAGTCATTGGAGTCACTCATGGGAATTCAGTATTGTTTTTGCAACAGAGTTCTGACGCTAATGCAGACTAAGGAATGTCGGCACCAAATTCTAAAATATTTTCTCGACCTCTACCGACTTCTGTGTCAAATTCAAGTAGTCCTTATTTATGCCATATTTCATTCTGGCGCTGTGCTTGCAACATATTCAGTAAATGAACTCTGACAGTTTGTTATAAGAAGAGTGATACAATGCAAGACCAAGTACTTTTTGGCATAACTAGTCTGTGGCACGATCATATTGTATATGTCTGTCGCAGTATGCCACATATACCTCAGGTGCGACATTCCTAAAAACTGAGGATCCACCTAAATCTGTCTCAGACACATTCAAGTCACATGTACATGTACTTTATCAGCATGCATATACTGTATCTGTCCCAAAGTTTGTCTCCCAAGCAGGCACCAGTTTCATAGGCTTGGATCAAATGCCTAAATGGTATTTGGCATTGTACATGAATTTGGCACAAATAACGACCCTATTTCTGTAAACCTGAGACACTTTCCTTATCTCAACCACTCTCTTTTTGAATTCCCCTGACTGTGCCCTGTTAATACCTGACAGATTTACAGAAAACACGTTTCCAGAGCCTCAGAGTAGAGAGGGATTAGAACATCTGTAGCTTTTTATTGCTGTCGGTGAATCCTTTAGGGAGATTGACCCTCTCTATGTGTCTGGTAACCGTTAAGGAAATTTGGGTTGTCACCCGAACACAAATACAGATGCGAAATCTACACTTTGTGTATGTCAATTCTAACAACAAACTTCTCTTATTGGCTCCCTTTTGGTCTGTTTAATATACCATTTAGTGTTTTGATATATCTGTTTAATACGTTTTTAGAAATACCTGTCGATCCTGCTAGAAATACAGTGCAGTCTTGTGTACTCTGCAGTGTTATCTTAAAGGAGAACTATGAGGTGAGTGCTTTTCACTCACCTCATAGTTCTAGCCGACCTGTGACAATGAGACTGTCATAGGTCAGCTCAGTAGATCGGGAGGTGAGCGAACACATACCAGCGTTCGCTCACCTCTTGATCCTGTCACGGCTCTCTGCCGTGACAGGGGCTGGATTCCCCCCTCCCCGCTCCGATCCGCCAGCGCTGACTGGTGGATCGGACAGGGGAGGGGGCGGGTACAGATGGCTCTGCCTCTTGATAGACAGAGCCAGCTGTCAGTCACGCAGCTGGGCAGATCCCGGCACAATTGTCGGGATCCGCTTCAGCTGCGGCGTCTCAGTATACCGCGAGCTACAGCTCGCGGTATACTGAGCCTAGGGTGATGGGAGGACGCTAGTTTGTGTCCTCCCGTTACCCTAAGGAGAACTATGGGGAAAAGACTTACCCCCATAGTTCTCCTTTAAAGTGACACTCAGGAGTTAAATCTTAAAAATGCATTCAAGGACCTTAACTATTAGCAAAAATGTATCTTATCTGTGTAGATCCTCAAATATTCAAATATTCTCTGAATTGGTGCTGACACTGTCCTTCCTTCTGGAGGGTGGCTACTTTTGTTCCCCATGGTCCCTGGGTGTGTTATAAAGTAGCCACCGCTCCAAGCTCACTCATATTAATGGCGAGGTAATATGCATTATAAGATCGTCCGCATATAGCAACAGCTTGTGTTGATGTTAATGGGACGAAGAGTCCCTACGTAAAGCAACTGCTAAGTGTTCCATCACAGTAACGGTGAAAGCGGGCATCCCTGACATGTGCCATTATATATGGGGAGGGCTGAAGAGAGGGCACTATTAACCTTCACCCTAGCCATAGTTTGCTTATATAGTGCCATGATTCTAGAAATAAAGGTACCTCCTGGCTCAATTTGTTAAAGTGAACTTTCAAGGAACAAGCAATGTACCCTGTTGAGCGCCTTTTCGGCATTGACAGAAAGAAGGCACATTAGTATATTCTTCTTTTTAGCAAAAGAGATCAAGTTGATACAATGGCAAAGAAGGAAAATGGGTGAACTGGTGACAGGGAGCATCTGTGGGATGTGCTGGAAAAACAAGTCCGATCCATGTAGGCCCCACCTCACATCTTAAGGGACTTAAAGGATCTGCTACTGACGGCCTGGTGCCAGATACCACAGCGTAACTTCAGAGGTCTAGTGGAGTCCATGCCTTGATGGGTCAGGGCTGTTTTGGTGGCAAAAGAGGGACCTACTCAATATTAGGCAGGTGGTCATAATGTTATGGCTGATCGGTGTATAGTATATGCTATCATGAATATCACGGATGGACAAAATGATATAATATTCAGGTAACCATCCAGCTCTTAGCTGAACCCTAATAATCTAATAATGGTATTCTATACAGGTTAGAAAATCTAGTAGTGTTTTAGAAGAAATGGAGTTCTCACCATTTATTTCCATGTCTCCATATTTGTCTCTGTACCAGAGACGTACATTCAGGCGACACTTGATATATAGAATGGTACCAACAACAAGCATGGTAAGGACGCAGAGTGCGAAGAGGACAGCTGCTATGTGTCCTGCTTTGTCTGTGGAAAGAAGATGACAAATGTAAAGTCCCCTCAGTGTAATTGTTCTATGACAAGTCATGACACGTGTAACAGTCAGCTGTTTGTGGACTGCATTTTACACAGTACTGTTCTTATAGAGAAACATTGCAAATTTGAATATATTGATTTGACTGACTTGATGAATGACACCATTTTAAAGGGGGCTATCACTAATGTTATAAGTATGTATTAAAGCAGACCTTGCAAAAAAATGCTGCCGCCGGGTCCCCTCCTCTCTCCTGACACTGTCAGGCTCTCGGTCCGTGACCGAGTGCCTGACTTTTTATAGGGGGTGACACCAAAATGACAGTCAGTCATTTTGGTGTCACCCCTCCAATGGTGGCACCTGGGTGTAGGCCGCACCCCCCGCACCCCCCTTGTGACGCCACTGTGCCTAGGTGAGAGTTATGTCACACTCCTTCCAGCTAGATCCTGGGAAATACAGAGCAACCCACAAGATGCTTTTGCAATGGACTGAAGTGTCTTCTCATGAGGTTACACCTGCTCTGCATTCCCCGGGAACCCTTGTGGAAGAATAGGGACGTCATGTCTAGCGATGTGGAAGATGGGGGTAAGTATAACATCTAATTTTTTTTTTAACGAATACTTTCAATAGGTGAAGAGGGGATGATAGAAAACCAGACTTCAAATGAGAATTATTTTAAAACATTCAAAAACATTTTTATTACGTATGTTTGGCCAAAAGGGTTTCAGTCTTGGATAGAGAGGGGAAGAATGGTTAATTCCGCGCAGCACCAAAAACTCACACAGCACTTTACATTTACACCAGTCTCTCTCCTCAAGGAGCTTACAGTCTACTTGGGGCAATTAAGACTGGAGCCAAGTAACCTACCAGCATGTTTTTAGAGTGTAGGAGGAAACCCACATAAATACAGCAAGAAGATGAAAACTCAATGCAGATGGTGTCCTGGTTGGGATTTAAACCATGGACAGCAGTGCTGTAAGGCAGAAGTGCTAAACACTAAGCCACCATGATGCACCGCTTAGTGCTCCACTTGGTTAGTAGAGGACGGTTGTTTTGGATGGACTTTAATGTTTAGACAGTAGTATATATAATATCAGGTACATAGTAACTATATATTATACTATCTACGCTCATTAGCTGAGCTGTTAGTTAAAGATACAGTGTCCCTGGAATATTGTGCCAGTGAATACAACATTATTTTAAAAATGAAAAGTAAATACCAGATTTGTGAAGAGTAAATGAGGCAGAAACGGTCTGCCATTGGCAGGTAAAGTTCCCATAATCCTCTTCTGTGGTGAGATTAACATTCAGGATACTGGTAAAGAACCTTTCCGAGCTGTTGAGGCCATTCCTGGAATGAAAGGTTATTCATTATTTAACTAATTAAAACTATATAGAGAGTTTGCTCTCATACACATTAATTCCGGATGTTCAGAAACTCAGCTAAACATTATCTGCACCTAAACTGACCCCATATGATAACCGTACTAAGGTTTTTGAAAAATATCTACAATATACACTGTTTATGGAATCCCTATATAAAACAAAGACTTTCTCAACATGGAGTTATTGGGTTCTCCCAGACATTGCTATGGGTTTCATGAGTAATTGTCCTGCATAGTTCCAACATCAATGTCACTCCAGTGGTGGCAACAGTAAAGCCTCTCCTTTCATTTCTCAGATAAGTGGCCATTGACACCAATGATGTTTTAGCTCTCTGCAATTTCTCCAACTGACCACCAATATAGCTGCATTTTTCACACTGACCACCAATGTAAGAAGCATTCTTCCCACTGCCCACCAATATAGCTACATTTTTTTCACTAACCACCAATGTAAAAGGCATTCTTCTTACTGACCACCAATATAAGAAGCATTCTTCTCACTGTGACCACCAATGTAACTTATGCAATGCATTCTTATCACTGACCATAGTGGTTGCGATGGATTTCATGAGTAATTGGCTTGCATAGTTCCAAAATCAATGTCACTCCAGTGGTGGCACCAGTAAAGCCTCTCCTCTCATCACTCAGGTAAGTGGCCATTGACGCCAATGATGTTTTAGCTCCCCGCAAGGGGGGCATTCTGCCCACTTTCCACCAATAGCGGCATTCTACTCAGTGACCACCAATGTAAGAGGCATTCTTCTCACTGGCCACCAATGTAAAGAGCATTCTTCTCACCGACCACCAATGTAAGGAGCATTCTTCTCACTAACCACCAATGTAAGGAGCATCCTATTTACTAACCACCAATGTAAGAGGCATTCTTCTCAGTAACCACCAATGTAAGAGGAATTCTTCTCACTGATCGCCAATGTAAGAGGCATTCTTACTGACCACCAATGTAAGGAGAGTTCTTCTCACTGACCACCAATGTAAGGTGAAAAAGCACAACGCTAAATATTCAATCGAATAAGGGTGTGTAAAGTGCAATCCAGGGCATATAATAATAATATTTCATCAGCAATAAATATAGTAATAAATACTTAGTCTACCAGTTATTCATGTGCTATAAATACTATCAATACTAAAAATAGATAGGAAAAAGTGTCCAATCAAAAAAGTTTGTGATAGTGGTTCAGTGCCAATGTTCTTCACACATTATCCAGTATGTAAAGTTTATTCTTAGTTACATTTTTCCCCCAATGTGAAAAACAATCCAGTAAAACGAAAGTGCTCGTAAATGTTCCAATAATCCAAGATAAAAAGCAACAGGTGTAATTCTTCCCATGAACAAACACGGCCTCCCTTCACCGCACTCACCAGAGTTAATTGACCGTCTATCTCTAGATGGTCAAATAAGACATGATAAAACAAAGCCAAGCCACATTCATTTGTTTATCTGGCTCGTTCAGCACTCCTTCCCAATCCCCAAAGAAGTCGGTCTTCCAATACAAATTCAATTCAATGATCACCGTTCACATCACCATATCAGAAAAAATAAATCACTCATTTTGCAGTAAGTCTCCAACAGGTTTATTAAAAATTACAAGATCTACTCACATTTAAAACTTTAAAAATTTGCCACAGTAAATCACGATATAAAATCACAGCACACTATCCTCACAAACCTCCGGTACAGATAGCATCAGCAGGGTCCGTCTCTAACGCGTTTCATCATCAAAGACGTTTTCAAAGGACGGCATACTGCAAAATTCTTCTCACTAATCACCAATTTAAAAGGCATTCGTACTGACCACCAATATAAGGTGCATTCTTCTCACTGATCACCAATGTAAGGTGCATTCTTTTTACTGATCACCAATGTAAGGTGCATTCTTTTCACTGTTTACCAATTTAGGAGGCATTCTTACTGACCACCAATATAAGGTGCATTCTTCCCACTGACCACCAATATAAGGAGCATTCTTCCCACTGACCACCAATGTAAGGTGCATTCTTCCCACTGACCACCAATGTAAGGTGCATTCTTCCCACTGACCACCAATGTAAGGTGCATTCTTCCCACTGACCACCAATGTAAGGTGCATTCTTCCCACTGACCACCAATGTAGGGGTAATTCTTCCCACTGACCATAAGTGTAATGAGTCATTTTTCCACATACTACCAATGTGATGGCACATGGAGATGGAAATATTTACCTCTCTGTGCTGTGACAGCAGCACACAATTTTTACATCCTTGGTGGAGTAAAGATAGGAGTACAACCTTATTAAAGTCTGGGGTATTACTGTGCAGGTGACACTGAAGGAAATTTCTGCACCAGGGATGTATACACCACAGGAGATGGCTGCCGTCGCAGAGAGGTAAGTATAGATGTATTG